CTGCCTCTACCTCTGTTTTAAAACCAGACCAGGTACTCATGTGTTTCTAAGTACCTACTAGATGGGGCCCCCCAAGTGCAGAGGTGGGGTCTTTAGATATTCTGCACAGTCTTCGACACATGACAGGTGCTTAGGTCCAGGGTTTTTGAAGGGAAAGGCAAGGCCGAAGATAAGGAAGCAACTGGCTAAAAACAGGCCAGCTTTACAGATTCAGTAGGAAAGAAATGATTTTGTATCCTCTTTCTATCTTAACCACATTTACTTGGGATATAAGAAATGGAAGGAAAGCACAGTTCATGCGGTAGTATTAGGCAGAGAATATGTCTAAAGCCTTTAGACCGTCGCTCCCACGGCTCAGCCTGTGGGTTTTCAGCAAGCAGCCTAAGAGGCACATGAGCATCTGAGAGACACCAGTGGCAGATGAGGTCCTGAGACTGTGCTCTAATAGAAAGAGCTTTCCCGTGAGCTTGAAGGTGGTCATCCTTGTTTCTGAGCTTCTGAAAAGGGCCAATCTGGCTCAGATCAGTTACCCACTAAAGCAGTAGGACCTAATGGGAATTTTAGCTCTTGACTCATATCACAGACATCCAAATTCCAGCTGTGCTGTTTACGACAGCCAAGCCATGGAAGCAACCTAAATGCCCACTGACAGGTGACTGGATAAAGCAGCTGTGGTGTATATACACAATGGAATACTATTCAGCCATAAAAAAGAGTGAAATAAAGCCATTTGCAGCAACATGGATGGGCCTAGAGATGACTATTCTAAGTGAAGTAAGCCAGAGAAAGACAAATATCATATGATATCACTTACATGTAAAAAAATGATGCAAATGAATTTACTTACAAAAACAGAAACAGACTCACAGGCATATAAAATAAACTTAAGGGTACCAAAGGGAAAGGTGGGGGATAAACCAGAGTTTGGGATTAGCAGATAAACACTATTTTATATAAAATAAACAAGGACCTACTGTACAGCACAGGGAACTATATGCAATATCTTGTAATAGCCTATGACGGAAAAGAATCTGAAAAATAATACATGTGTATATATACGTATTTACAACTGAATCAGTTTGCTGTACACCTGAAACATTATAGATCAACTGCACTTTAAAAAAAATTCCAGCTGTAGAATTGAGGAAAAGGTCAATAAACGACTTTGCTAGATCTGGAAACCATATCACCTGAACATACACACAAGCTCACTCACAGGTTCATTTCACAGAAATCACCACAAACGTGCTGCACACACAAGCCCAGACATTCGACCGCGCTTCCTTTCCCAGGTGAACCTAACAGATGGCACTGGAAGATGCAGGCTGAGATTGAGGTTAAAAAAGGAAGAGATCTGATTACCAACCACAAGCCAGGTAAATTTTCTGAGGTGACATTTTAAATCCTTTCTTCTTGTTGTATAACCTCCATGGCGTGTTTCTATCGGGACCACTGGTTTTCCAGGCTCCTTGGCATTTATTTTAGTTGTCTGAACACAGCATTTTCAAAGGACAGAACAGACATTTAAATATACACAGGGAGACAATTTCAATCTGAGTTTCTCTAGAGAATTACATTTGGTCCCCTTTCACAGCATCCACAAGCCCATCTCTAGAACCCATCCGCTAGTCATAACCCAACGCCATCAGGTCTGCCACACAGATCACTGTCATTTTACAAAATTTCGGTATCTGTCCATGCAAAGACAATATTTTCACATTATCTATAAAATGGTCCTGGTAAAGAGATTTGGAGTCTTAAATTTCATTAACTTCACTTACTTCTCTGTCTACACTCTTGTGTGAATACGTCCCCTCAAGCAAAAAGCAGACGTTGCTTTACAGAAACATTTTGCATAAATACATTATTTTCATCGAACAGTCAATAAATTCACTTCCTTATGGCAACATTCCACCACAGAATGGTAAAACCCATCAACTTCCTGCCAATATGAATATTTTTCATAACAAGTACGTGAAGAGAAACCATCAAAGATTAAATTTATATCTCAGGGGCGGTTACATCACTCTCGACGATTCATGATTTGTGAACAAAGCACAGGAACTTCCAGCATAGAAAGGGAGCGGTTTTACCGTGGCCAACACGCTTTCCTGGAGAGTAAATCTGTGTATATTTAAGGCATAAGTCTCAAAACACAAGGTAAGCATTTTAAAGAACATTTTGTATCAGGGTCATGTCCCCACTAAGGTGAACTGCCTTTACATTTTCTGTTTTCTCATGTTCAGGTGAGAACAGGGAATCCTAGAAATAGCTCATGAGGTCATTTCCTGTAACAGTGGGCTAGGAAACTGGAACTAACTCTGTCTAGAAACAAACTGAAATTGCTGGATGAGATATACAAACGTCTGCTTAGAAGCATCAGGCAGCTAAGATGATATGGAATTTAGCCAGATCTGAGGGGCAAATTTGAATCCAGAGAAAAGGGGGGCACCGATGTTCCTTTCATCTGAAGGCTTTGCTACTTGGAAACTCTGAATTTTGGTTGGAAGAGGCATACAAAATATGGGAAACAGAAATCAAAATCCAAGATCTGCTCAAGGTGGAGGGTCTCAGAGGAGACTGAGGCCACAGTGGGCCATGCAAGTCAACCAGGTTAGCCACTCAAATTGACATCCCCCAAGAGGCCCAAAAACTCATGAATTTAACCAGATTCCAGATAGACGAGGTGCTGAATATAAACACTGAAAATCTTCCTGAAAGCAGTGGTTCCCCAACTTAAGCATGAGAATCACACAGAGAGTCATGAAAGCACGTAAATGCTGGACCTCAGCTCCATGCTTTCTGCTTCAGTAGGTCCAGCATGGAACCCGGGAACTGACATTTCCAACAAACTCTCAAGTGATGCTGGAGTTGCTGGTCCAAGGACCACACCCGGAGAACCACCGCTCTAGATGAACACACCTACATCCTAGGCCTCAAGTTATCTCAACAAAAAAAAAGTTCACAAAGATATCGAGCAGCATATGGTAAGTGATAAATAAGCCCTCAAGGAAATAATTATGAGTGAAAGTCAAAAGCAAGCCACGACTTCGAATACTGGAATTAACAATAACAGACCATAAAACCGCTAACAATTAACTGATTGGTTAATTCGCTTCATCAATATTTGTAGTTTAAAAACGAGAGTGAAGCTTAAAACACCTGGGAAACAAGGGCGGGGCGGAGCTCAGAGGCAGACGGTGTGCTTAGCACTCACAAGGTCCTGGGCTCCATCCCCAATGCCTCCATTAAAAAATAATAATCAAAAAATACATAAACCTAGTTGCCTCCCCCATCCTAAAAAAGAAAGCAAGAAAAGAGTGTTTTTTAAAAATCTAGGAAATAGGAAATTGTAAGTAGTAACAGCACAGATTTGAAAAAAAATGCAGACAGATATTCTGGAAATGAAACAGCAATTAAACAAATGAGACTAATGACAGATTAGATGAAGCTGAAGGGAGAATCAGTGAGTGGGCAGACAGGTCAGAAGGAAGAGTCTGGGTCAGGAGTCAGGAAACTACAGTCCACAGGCAATTGCTGGCCCGTTGCTTATTTTTTAAATCAAGTTTAATTGGAACACAGCCATGGTCATTTATTTACATGTTGTCTGAACCCCTGAACTGGGGTTAGGAGAGAGTGAGACACCGCGGAGGCAAAGCTGAAGGAGGCATCCACGCGCAGGCAAGTGCCGACTCTGCACTTGTTCCGCCCTGAACGTAAGTGTCTTCTTAACCGTAACCCCTTGACCCGCTCCTGGCCTTGGGGACCCCCTCCTGGCCCTGGAAGGAGGCACGAGAGGGCCCCCTGAGGGGTAGATACATGGAGCTATCCATTTCTGCTGTAATGATTACTTTGTGAAGTTTTCTGTATTTATTTCAGTTTCATTTTTTTTTAAGAAATGCTCTTCTAAGTCACGTTAAAGATGAAATAACAGTAAAAGGTAGAATCATTTTTAAGTCGGTAACAATGAAAATACTGCCTATCAGGGGAAGCGGGATGAAGTTAAGGAGCCGACACTTCAGGCATGTGCTGGTGAAGCAGGTAGGACAAGCGTACGTGATCGGGCACCTGTTCAAGGGCAGCACATCTGGGGCGCGGGCGTTCTGCTCCCGCGCTTCAGCCTCCAGGAGCCCGCAGTCCCCCGCCCAGCGTGACACGCACGGCGGCGTCCCCAGCAGCACTGCTGCGCTGCAGGGCTGTGAGAATGACTGAATCACAGCCACGGGCAGGAGCACGAGCCAGCCTCACACACGTAGCGCTGCCCAGAAGCAGCAAAGGAGAGTAACCCGCACCATCTCATTCCACGTGTAGGAAACTCCAGAACAGGCACAACTTCAGTCAGAGCTGAGAACTTCCTCAAGGTGAGGGGGGAGGGATGGTGATCAGGAAGGAACAGAAAGTGATTTTCTCTTCTTACAATAGCTTATTTCTTAATACGGGTGAAGATCACACAGTATTTGCTTTTTAATTATTTATGAACTTCTGCATTTGTTTTTATGCACTTGTCTGCATACATTTCAAATTTTTTAAAATGTTTAAATACGAAAAAAAAAAAGAAAAGCCATACTATGGGGATTAACTGAATAAAAGAGGATTAAGACATAGTTCTCCCGTGTAACTGCAGACTGGCTATGCTTCTGAAGTCACAGGCTACCATGGCGTCACATCAGACAATGTGCTGGTGACTGAGGTTCTGGAAACACCAGCATCCAGGAACCTGAGAACAGAGCAGTATAACGGGGATGCGTGTACTGCTCCGATGGATGGCCTCAACAAACGTGGGAAATGACCTACTAACATGGAAAATACAGCACGCACACAAACGGGACAGAGCGGTATGATGGAAATGCATGTACCACTCGCCCAGCTGCAATATTTATCAGCGTTTTGCACACCAAGTTTCCCCCCACCAAATTCTTTTTCTGAGTATTTTAAAGGAAAACTCAGATACGTCATTCATTGGTAAATACATCAGCATTTCATTTTAACAAAAGCAAGTTTTAACATCACCACCACAGCATCATCGTCATACTGAAAGTTCCAACAATTCTTTAATATCATTGATACAAGTTTACTTGTCCTTCTATCTCAACAATTAATTTTATAGTTGTTTTCTCTGAAGCAGGATCAAAATAAGGTCTACACTCTGCATTTCATCTTTAGACTCTTTACTCTGCTCCTTAACAACCCACTCCCACTTTTTTTTTAATGCCATTGCTCTATTGTAGAAAACAGATCATTTGCGCTGAGAAGGACTCAAGTTCTGGGTTTGGCTGTTGCCTTGTAGTGCTGATCATCTTTTTCGTTATCTGCCTTTTTTTTAATTTTTGTAACTATACAAACTTACCTTCCGATCTTGATACCATAGCATTCAGGTGCAGAAACCATTACCTGCCAGGGTACACATGAACACTCACTTAACACCCTAAAAGAAAGAGAGAACACTTTCAAAAAAAGTCATTCAGTTGACAACGGTCAGGTCTAAACCACTGATTTGATGCAATCATAATTGCATTGCTATAGATCTAAATCTAGTTACAGAAAAGACTTCAGAACTAATGGACTTTCGCACTCATTATGTTTAGGATAATGAACTCTTTTCCAATTAACTGTTATTCCTAAACCCTGAATCAGTCTTCCCTGTGCACTCAGGAAATCCCATTTGCAGCACAAATCCATTAATTCATAGAGCAGAGTTTCCCACTTGTGGACCCCATACTGCGTCTTCATCAGATTCACAGGATATTGATTCTAGATAAACTGACAAACAGGATTACACAAGCTTTTAAATAATAAAGTTAATAACCCTATTTTAAATTAACAATATTAAAAATGTTTTGTGTCAGTAAGATAGATGACATTACTTGAAATTTTTCACCAACTTATTTATCTTAGGCCTAATAACCAATAACCTGGGATTGCAAATCAGGCCCTGTATCCAGTTAATTACTTCATTTATTCTTCATTTCTACCAATTCAGAAATTTTTAATGTATATTAAGACTTAACAAACATAAGTTGGCTAAAATGAATTTTAATGTTTTATGTTTCTGCCTTATAGTTTTAGGTATTTGGATCAAACATGAAATACATCCAAATTATTGGGAGATTTCACACTAAATACCATGTCCTTCGTGCTAAAAGGTGCTGAATTAATTACAACATCACATTCAAAAGCATTTTACTGATCAGGAAGGGGCATAGGATTAAACATTTCAAATTCTCTTTTTTTTGTATTTATTTATGCAAAATATTTCTTCGTGTTCTGTTGCGGTATTTAAACTTGTTTTTAAACTGTATCACACGTTGTCATTCATTTTTTTTTAATCTGACAAGTGAAAAAGACATTTGCAGGCTGAAAAAGAACCACATTTTTGACAATCAAGCTGCATGCACCAATTTAGACTTAAGAAATCTGTTGTCTTATCATCAACACTAAGATCATGTTGTCACTAAAGTAATACATTCAGACCATTCAGGTTACTAAATGTGACTCTGAGATACGTCACAAAGCAAAAGTGCCTGAACTCAAAGAAATAGATCTTAGTCTTTTACTGGTGCTGTGAATCTGTAAAGACATCTCACCCCTCAGTTGAAAAGCTCCCAGGAGCAATCTTCTCCTTGGCAGCTAGCACATTTCAGAGGGGAAACTGAGTCTTGTCTTCACGTCCAGCCTGCATCTTTGAACTGCAACCTGCAAAGTCAAGACTCTCAGTGGCCACGATGACCCTCAGTCACAATGTCTACTCTATTTGGACATCAAATCCAGATGGGCACACTGCCAGCTCCTGGCTGGGTAGCTGACATGTAGATGCTCACTATTTTATTTGCCTGTCAAAACCCTACTTGGGACAAACATAGTGACCTCTGCTTGTTATGGATACCAAACACCTTCTCTAATCATAGTGAGAAAGGTCACTGTGTATTTCCCCACATACTAACTGAAAATGGGTTCCCATCAGGACCTCCCTCCACTGACTGAGCAAAATATTGATCATATGTACAGATAGTCGCTCTTGCACAGTGCGTGTCATTGACACCCATCTGACTGTCTGCTCCCAGTGTTCCCTTCACACAGGGTCTTCTGGCCAGACAAGTGTCCTTCCTCTTCACAGAAGGGCCACAGTGCCTTTGCACGAGCTTGTCCCTCTGACCCAGGGGTGGAGGGTGCTGTTCTCTGTTTCACAGGGCCACTTCCTCTCATCATCTTAATCTCAGTTAAGAGCCGCTCCCCAGTAACATCTCAAGCTGTAGTACCACACTCCCAGTCACTTACCATCACATCCAGGAAGGGTGTTAAATGTTATTCAATGATCTCATTTGAAAATTTGAGATTTGTTCACGTTAACCACTATATATAAGAATAGATTAAAAAAAAACAAATTTCTTCTGTGTGGCACAGGGAACTATATTCAAGATCTTGTAATAACCTTTAATGAAAAATAATATAAAAACAAATAGATGTGTGTGTGTGTGTGTGTGTGTGTGTGTGTGTGTGTATGTATGACTGGGACACGGTGCTGTACACCAGAAACTGACACACTGTAACTGACTATATTTCAATTAAAAATTAAATTTAATTTGAAGTAAATAAATAAATACGTGCTATTTAATGCTCTCTAAAGCACGAGCACCAGTCGGAAGAGGTGCAGGCTGCAGGCAGCAGGCAAAGCGAGACTGGAGCACGGCTGCTGAGCGTTTACCCCGCCAGCGTGAAGCTCTCTGGTCTCTTCAGAGCACTCGTCACTTTCTGAAATTAACCTTGACTTGGCTGTTGTCTGGCGCCTCCCAGTAAAGAGCAGAGCTTTCTTCACCATGAATCCCCAGTACCTAAAAGTCTGTCACGTGTCACCTGCTGTTTAGCAGGTGTTAAATGTGGACCTTGGTCAGTGCCTGAATTTGCTTGGAACAGCACCACTGTGGATGGAGTCTCAACCGTTCCCGTTTCTCACGTGCCACAAGCAGCAGCGTTAGATTATCTCACGAAGGAAAACCTCCTTTCGTTACCATCTAGGAAAAACCCAGTGAGTTTGCCAAGCAGGCGACTGAATTGTGCTTAAAGACGGATGACACAAAAGCATCAGAGTTTCCCTAAGACTGTTTGACGCACCTGACAGCCCGATGAGCTCTAACTGGTCCACAGACCCTGCTCACTCCTTCCGAGGACCGTCAGTGGGCCGTGGACCACGCGTCCATAAACCCTTCTGCAGAGCACAGTTTGACTTCGAGTCAGTGAGTGTCCATATTTCCACTAGTGCCAAATTAGGGGCTTTCCTTCTAAATTTCGTATCATTTGTCTTATACGAAAGATGAGTACAACCTAGGAAAGTAGTAAGACTGCGTTTACTTAAATGGTATGGAAGAGACCACAAACATAATCAGAAGGTTCAAAAACTTTCTCAATTTTTAATAATGATTATGAGAGTTTCTATTTAAACTACACATAAGGACAGTAGAGGCAAAATTTACTAAATGCTTATAAAGTACCAAACCCTCTCCTGAGCTTTCTTCGTCTGCAAATAAGGGTAACAGAACCTGCTCGAGGCGGCGCTGTGAGGGGTAGGAGGCACGTGGAGCATTCAGCACGCTGCCTGGGAACGCAGCAGGTGCTCAGTAAATGCTGTTACTCCCAATGATTGCAGCAATCCACAAAGACAGACCTGAAGTTCAAACCCTAACAGCTCAGGAGTTTGTGATCTCGTTATCCCAGGGAGGCTGTAGAAGTCGTCACACTCAAAGACGGGGGAATAAAGCACTAGCCCTCCCCGTCTTCGGTCTCCCCTAAAATGGTACCTTCAGGGGGAGACGGCAATGAACAACTCATCTGGGGAGAGCTGCGCTCTTCAGGCCTTTGTCAGAATCACGTAAGCACTGGGACATTAAAAATAATGAAACAGGGGACTGGGAGAAGTATCTTGCTGGAGTAAGATTTAGCTATTTTTTGCAGAACAAAGTAACCTTACTAACATCATCCAAAATCATAGACGCACAGGGCTATAGGATGCAAAGGACAGTCACTAACCCTGAATCCAAAAAATCCAAGAACCAGCTAGGGCCCATGCGCACACGTGCACACACACACGTGTGCACATGCAGACATATGCATACTTACTTAGTCCCTTATCTACTAGGCTCTTTTAATGTGTTTTTAAACGTTTACTGGAGAAAACAGTGAAACATATGCAAAAGGAAGGACAGTAAAGTAAACATGCGCATCTACTAGTCAGCTTCAGTAATTATCACCTCATGGCCAGTCTAAGCTAATGAGCTTTTAACTTCTTTTACATTTTAAGAGGACTCTATAGGGACTTAAACAGTTGGAGGGAAAAAAAACAATGACCAAAGTATTCCAGAGAATGGAAGTGATGTCCTGCCTAGCCATGGCACATACCAAATTCCCTGGGCTGTAAACTGTAAAACAAACAGTTGCAAAAGCCTCTTTCAAATAGACGTGGAATGAACCACAAACAACACGGAACTGTGTTCCACCCTCACAAAAGACCAGTAAAGTTGCAGGCACTTGAAATGCTCCCCAGAGAGTTTATATGTGCCCCGAATAATTTTTAACTACAGTATGATTTAATGCTGGAATGGGATTCTATGGGAAGCTATTAATTTCCATCTGTGCTGCTCATTAAAAACATCACTGACATCCATTTACCTCTGGGGTATGAGCTGTCACTTCAGTATCTTTCTGTATCGTTCACTTATTTCTGTATTAAGTCAAATCACATCACACAGAATCCAAGTAGTTCTACTGAATTCAAAGTGATTTAATCAAATTCTAAACGTAGGAGTGTGTTAATGTTTCTAATTTGGTCTAAGTGTCGTTAAGTTGCTAAGGATTCGCATGCAGTGAGGTGATACGTATTTATGGGAAAAAACAGCAATCAATAATTTCCTCTGTCTTTGTCAATGTGACCGTTTTCCAGAACATGTAAGTTCATCAGTTCTGATTATTAAAACAGCTCCTGCCCCTGCTGATTTCCCTCGATTCTGTACATGAGACGGGCAGACCGTCCACACTTCCCCCCAACTCTCCTTCCAGCTCGGGGAGAATTCATGGAGCTGTAACTGGTTCCCTGGCCCAGGAATCACCTGACTCGTGTCAGCTTCTTTCCGTTTATGTAAGCTTCTCTGATCTTGGACACGCTCAGATTAGCAAACACTACTTTACAAACAAATTCTCCTTACACACAAATACACATCCTGCCAAATCAATTCTTACCACTTCTAACTGCTGTTCAGTTATTTGAAAATGTTTTCTTTTCTTCTCTTCAGACATTTTGTGAATTCAAAGAAAATTATCTCAATTATGGCTCGTAAATGTTAGTGGGGTGGTTGGTGTGTACCTGCAGCATGAATCGTGAAAAAAATATATACATATATATACGTATAGTAAGGAACAAATATCACCCTCTGAAAC